GCGGGGCGGCTGTTCGTACCGGAGGAGGCGCAAGCGGGAAGCGCTACTGGCAGCGTGTTTGTGTAGTGGTTAAAAGAGGGGCTGCACAGCAATTTTCATGCCACCTGGATGCGGAATGCTGGTCTTTCCCGAGAGGAGAGAGCTGAAGCAATAGGTGTTTCCTCAGAAGTAGCTGCTTTTTCCATGTCAGCTGGGAAAATGTTTCCTCTCTGCTCACTCCAGCAAGGATGCAGTTGGTTTTTCCTTTCGGAGTTAAGCACATGGAATGCTCCTCTGATGCATTAAGCATTTGCTCTCTCCTGCCTAAGCCTGCCTCTATTACAGCAGCTTTCTCAGCTTCTAATGTTCCTGATTGCTATTTTAAGAGGCCGTGGCGGTCAGTGCCTTCCCAAGGGGAGCAAAGCTCAGCTAAACCCGCTGCTCCCTCCCCGGGGTATGTTCTGAACCCAGCACCGAGATCGCACCCAAAGGTCAGGCACAGCGCCTCTGTCCTCACAGCCCTGTCCAAGGCGCCCGGTTCCGGGCAGGCGGGAGTTTTCCATTCGTTTCTCTTGGCTTTACATTTGCATCGAGCCCTGATGCAGCTGCCCCTTTCCCCGAGACATTTGTGCTTGCCTGCCGAACTCCGTGTTAACCTCCGGCTGCTCTGGGCCACGGCGAACGCCTGCAAGCGGGGAGAGCTGCGTTAGCTTCTCTGCTAGGGGTGCCACGCCAAGAGCAGCTTCAAGCGCTGGTAGAGGACGGAAAATTCGGGTTGCTGGTTTGCAGCACACGGAGGGCTGCGTATATGCAGTCCCCTAATTCTGTGAAGGGGACAGATTTGGCCACATTTGGCTCCAACGAGGTCTGTCCTCGGCAGCCTGGCCACTCAGCCATTGACAGTAAATCCTTTGCTTTATCAACGTGTTATATGATTCCTCCCGAGCAAGGAACAAAACAAAGACCGGCTCCATGTCAACAGGGAAATGGCCGCCACCAGCGCTGCCCTAGGCAGGGCCTTTCACCAGCCCCACCGGGCTGTTTGCCCTAACAGCTTGTTAATCAGCTTGAGCTGCCCCCCACACACTCCCCGCATTTTTCTCAACTAAGTAATGACAGGATGCAGACAGAATCGGCAATCAAATTCTCCAACCCTGCAAGGCTGTTAGCAGCAACGTTAAGCTCAGCGTTGTTCAAAATCGCTGCCGAATCGCATGATGCGCTCGCCGTTTCGGCTTCCTGCGGGTTAACAAATAACAGCTCCCCCCCCTGCCATATCCCAAGCAATAAAAAGATAAGATAAAACCACCATGGGCTTGACTTCAAGGCCAAAACCAAACTCGATCACCTGTTCCAGCGTCCCATCCTCGCTACCCGTCCCTGCAACCCACCCAGGCTCAAGTCCATCACCACCCGTGGGTGCCTTCCTGCCGCCCTTCTCAAGGACATGGGGTGCACTTGTCGGCGTTGAGGTTTCTCTGCCTCTGCAGCTTTGTAACTTCAGCAACACTTTCCCTCTTAAAACCCTTCTCAGGCAAAAATGGGAGGCTGCAGGCCACC